TAATATATTAGTTATTATAAATAAAGAAGTTGGGTTTTCCTACATTCGTACAATATATAGCGACTCAGGAATTGCCAATATTAAATGATCATATTGCATCATTTAGGGCAGGYATGAACTATGAAGATGCATACAAAAACAACATAATCATGTACCGAGAATACAGATAAGTCACGTAGAAAATATATACATATTAAGTAAATCTCTTTTTTTCTAAATAATATCCAACTTGAATACTTATTTTTCTATATCATTGGCCATGGGAGTATAATATACCATAGTTAGTAATTATTATAAGTCTGTGTTCTGATGTTCTGGATAATACCAGAGTACTAAATACTAGAGTAGAGTATAGCTACTATTTAGTAGGTAACTCATGAAGTCATGACACATTATTAAACAGTAAAGTAATATATAATATATTAGTATGCGGTATAGGTAGTAGTAAATACTACTAGTGAACTATATAGTGAGTTAAAATCAGTATCTAGATATTACTGACACTAGTGATATTACTTTACGGGTTATCTCTCCATGAGGTTCACGAAATTATCCAACAGTTCGGACTATAAATAGTCACTAAGTACAGACTGTCTAGGTTAGACGATAAAAAGTATTATTTAAAAATTTAGACAAGCGACTAGATAAAAACTTATTTTTATGGGTCATGATTTGAATTTATCAGAGTTTATTACGATATCTCAAATGTCAAGATTGATTATAATTTATTATGTACCCAAATAATTTAATTTAATACACAACAGTATTAGGTAAATATAAATTACTTTAAAATCAATAAAATTTTATTAGTTTTATAATTGTTATTATAGATACTTTTTAAGGTATTTCACTGGTATTTGTTATCAACGTTATCATTTTATGTCATAAATCATAATAAAATACTAACTAATAATATATAATAATTACGATACATTACGTTATCAAATGTTAAGTGGAAATTAAAATGATTCTGATAATTTATTTCAGTCATTAATTATTTATTAGTTATTACTTACTATAAAACTTAATTAAGATCAAAATTTTAAATACCTAGTTCTATGCAGATAGGCATCTGTACAACTACAGGTTCTCGATGTACACAAACGGTTTCTCAAAATAAATTAAAACTTAAAAAAGCGTGTGAGTCGTGGATGTCGCTCTGCTGTACCCTGTACAATAGGTTAATGACTTACTTTAATGGATGGAATTAAATTTGAATCCAATGATATTATATCATTGCATACGAAAAACGATACTAAGACGGTTTATCTGTCTAGGATATATTATAGATTATTAAAACTTTTCAAATCTTAGATTTAAAAAGAAAATTTTTTTAWGAATTTCTAGCTTAAAATAATTTGCGAATTTTCGAGATTTTTACGTATGTTGTCAAAATTCAAATTTTGAATGCTTATAAAAAAAATCATGGCTGTATTTTTAATATTTTTCAACTGCTATTGTAAAAATATGTTAAATGTCTTGAATTAAATCTTCAAACTTTTCTACCCAACGAGTAAATTTTTATCGATATTTATAGAAAAAAAAA